AATTGTGTTGTTGATGGCGGATTTCTAAGCTATATTGATGTAATTCTCATAGTAGTTGTAATATTGAATCTCAATATATCATAGGCCAAAAAAAAAAAAAAAATTTATGTAAATTTAATAATATCTAGCTAGCTTTTGAACAACATATTTCTTTGTATCTATGGGAGAATCTTGCACTATGTATGTATTTGTCTATCTTGAATTTTTGACTCTACCACTATTTTATTTATATTTAACTTACTTTTTATTTTATTTTATTTTTAAATATCTATCCAAATCTATAAGGGATCGTTTGAAAAGTGGGTTGATTTTTTAACTATTTTAATCTAAAGATTAAAAAAATCTCGTTTTGGAAAAGATTTTTGTAACTTTTTATAAAAAGAATGAATATAATAATTATAAATTAAATGTAATATTTTTTATTAAATTAAAAATATATTTTATTTTTTTATGATTAAAATAATTTAAAATACAACCCAACTCAACTTTCCGAGGCTGAATTCAACTAGTATTTTGAAGAGTCCTGAGGCGCCGTTTGTTCTGGAAGAAATGATTTGGTCGTAAAGTAGTTACAGTCATCATTAGCCTTGAAATTTAATACAATTAGATTAGGATAATGTTTGAGAGCTCGAATTTGGCCTCCCCTAATCCCCAAAACGACGTCGTTTGGGGATTTTTTTTTTTTCTTTCTCCATTTTCGACTCTGAAACAGGGAGAGGGAGAGAGAGAGAAGCTGAGGGGAGGGGAAGAGAGAAAGAGAGAGAGAGAGAGAGAGAAAAGACGATCGTCGATTGCCGATGCCCAGTCGCCGATCGTCGCCCAGCCGTCGGTCGTCGTCGCAGCCCAGCCCCGCCGTCGCAGTCCCCTCCTCCCTCCTCCTCCTCCCTCCTTCCTCCTCCTCTTCTCCTTCTCTGCTTCTGAAAGGCCCCCTCCAGTCCCCTCCTTCCTCCTCCTCTCCTCCTTCTCTGCTTCTGAAAAAAAAAATAAAAAATTAGGGGGATTCGGGGCAGCTCATTTCGAGCTACCCAGCACGACTCATTAGATTATGGGTTGATTTGGCATATTTAAAAAAAAATAAAAAGTCAAACAATTATTAAAAAAATTAAAAAGTTATCACTATTCATCAAAAAAATATAAAAAATAATAATTTTACAAAAAAAAAGTACAACTCACATGTCACGTGAGTTGTACTTTAGCTGCCCACAGTTTGTATAAAGGAAACACGCGGGAAAACAAACAAGACAGTGTTGTTCGGCCTGTGGGGTTCATTACGGGTCTCATTTTGATAATCTGAACCGTTGAATGTGTAGAATTCGTCGAGTAATATATGCCTGTAAAAAATCATGTTGATCGGATATCACTAACTATATGATCAAATTAGTTTTGTATATAAAAAAAAAGATTGGTGTTATAGTTAACGATTGACAAAAAACTAATCCGATCAGATAGTTATTGATATTCGATTAACGTGATCTTTTATAAGCATATAGTACTCAATGAATTTTACAGATTGAACGGTTCTGATTGGCAAAACGGGGACCTGTGGTGGGCCCCCACGGGCCGAACATCACTGTCCAATTCAATGCCCGTAAATGAGGCAAGCTTCTCCTATACACTACTCTACCCACCATACTGCTTACTCTGCCCAAACTTCTCCTATACACTAATTTATACAATTTTTAACACACATTTTTTCATAAAAAGTCAAAAAATTATCCGTAATAACCATTAGGGTCTGTTTGGTAACATTTACGTTTTTAGTTTATATTTACAAAAATTTTATAAACTGGTTTTTGTTTATTTTTTATTTATTTTTAGAAAAAGATAAACTACAAACGCGTTTGGTAATTGACAAAATGTTTAAAAAAATTTAAAAATATAAAAAAGAATGAGAAATGGCAAGTGGTGGCAAGTGGCGGCAGAAGACGGTGATGAAAAGTGGTGACGGTGGGTGGTGGGTAGCGGGTGGTGGTGGGTGGATGGGTGACAGTGGTGGGTGGTGGGTGGTAGTGAGTGGGTGGTGGTGGTGGTGGTGGTGGTTTTTTCATTTCTGAACACGCAGATTTTTATTTTTATTCTGCTTTCATTTTTATTCAAGTCATTTTCTATTCAACTTCCTTTTTTATTTAATTTCCAAATAGATGGTTAAGGTATAGTGGTTTCTTAA